TTGAATTGAAATCTCTGAAAGAATCTGTAAAAATTAAAAAAAGATTAGCTGAAAAATAACAATTATATCAAGCGACAAAACTAAACCGATGAAGCTAAGAGAGGGAAGAGGGGATAGATGAAAGCAGTCGAATGACCTATAAATAGTCAAGTCTCGGAGGAATAAGTCCAGTTATCACCCGAAGACGACTGTGTATACTAACAATCGAAACGTCGTCTTGTAGTTTGGTTTGGAATCTTTTAATTTTAAATTTTATTTTTTTTATTTTCATCTCTTGTTAATAGTTGAATTCTTTGATTTTTTGGTTGTTGCTTGTATTTTATTTCATTGTAATTTCAGTTTTTTCGCTTAGTATGATTGTTATTTTTCAGCTAATTTTTTTTAATTTTTACTTATTTTTTCAGGGATTTCAATTCAATTTATATTATATTAGACAATAGAAATCCGAACTGATGAAATGAATAAGTTTCAGTTAAGGGGATTTCGATGTCAAATTCTATATTATCATGTCATATAAAAACAATTCAAATACATATTTCTGTAACAAGGTTTGTAAGGTTTGAATTTCTGGCAAAGCACTATTTCCATATATTTGTTGATACATGGGTCTAGCTTGCTATCAATTACCGTCGGCTAGGCCATACACGTAATGCATATATGTCAATTCGAAATTCGACTAATTAACCATTATTAAATTGTGTTAAACTGGAAAAATAATGAAGAAGATATTTCAGAGCGAATAAATTTGAATTTCATACACTTATAAAAAATGTGAAATCTAGAAAGCAAGTGACATATCACAGGGCCGCTATATCTGACGTGTATTGACGAAATGAAGCCTGAATATGGAGTGACTCGAAAGCTGAAGTGAGATCGAGTTCTTCAGTTCTTCAATAGTTTTTCAACTAAACGGGGGTTGTATCATTTTTTTTCAGAAACGACGTATAGTAGGAAAAAAAATTAAGAGGACTTTTCCATCCCAAATTGAACAAGCAGTTATAAATTTTTTTTTGAGTAATATCCATGGGTGCATCATTTTTTTTCCTTCAAAAATTCGAAAATACTAAATAATTTCTAACTTTTCGTATTTTCGGAAGAAAACATTTCGAACTGTAGTTCATACAGCAACCTATCATTATTTTCTCATGTAAGATTTACACCCTTGATATTTAGCATATTATTAAGAAACATCCTACATATTAATTTTCATTTATGTTTAGAATAATGAATTTTCTTTGTTAGTATTCCAAAGCCCAAAATAGTTATATCAGGCGAAAACAATACATATTGATTGTGAGTAAATAGTGAATTTGATTTATAGTTTACATTAGATAACGGTCACTATTTCTTATCGCACCGATTCAGATTAAAGCTAAAACTAAAAGCGACACAACTGATCTCTATAAGGGTGTTTATTAAACATGCGACAAAAATTTAGGGGACTATTTTAGGGATATTCCACCCTCTGATGATTTTTGATAGGGCGCTTTATTTCGAAGATACGGAGCGAAAAAGAAATTTGAAAATAACAATTTATTACCAAAAATTACGTGTAATGTTTCTTACTATACAAGAACTGTTGAAAATGACTACCTCCCGCTCAGATGCAAGAATCCAATCTTCTCCTCATCGACTCCCGAACTCTTTCAAAAACACCAGGATCACTTACGAGACATATTATTCAAATTGAATGTCTGCAGCCGTTTGTAGTAATCGGAAGGTTGCTGATAGGTACCAACGGAATTGTTAGATTTTTTATTACTTGGTAGGTCCAGTGTAGTACGCTACCTATACTTTTATTTCGGCTACGTTAATAATTTTAAAATTTCGAAAATTGTTATTGTCGAAATTCTTTCTGGCTCCGTATCTTCGAAACAAAGTGCCCTATCAAAAATCATCAAAGTAAAAATATTCTTAGAATAGGCCAAAGAATATTCCCTTAATTTTTTGCCGCAAGTTCAATAAAGACCCTGTATAATACCAAAACGTTATTGGCAACATCTCCATATATTCACTCACAATCACTATTGATGGACAATCAATTGCACTAGCTGCTTTTAGTAACTGGACCTGATGAACTTTACTTACACACCAAAATTGTGAAAAATTTCACGAAAGTTTTGCAAACCAAGTTGACAGAAAAGTTGCAGAAAAAGTTGAACTATAATTTATTGTCCCTTTATATTTTAATTTCGTTAGTATTTATAAGTTGAAATCTAATTATACCGGGTGTCCCACATTTTATGTGACAGGCAATATCTGGTTTGTTGAAGGAGATACACAAAAATGTTTCATACAAAAGTTTTAGGAGTTCATGAGAGCTATATTTTGATATAATTTTTAAATATACAGGGTGTTTGGTGTAGGTGCTACAGACCAAAATTCCATTTTTTAAAATAGAACGCCCTGTATATCATTACATATTCAGATGCTACGTTAA